TTCTAAACTGTCATTTTTTCAAAATAAGAACTCGTTTTTTTTACATAGTGGAAAACAACAATCCAACCGTGTTCCAAGTTTTTGACTGTGTAATTTTTGCTGCTAGAGGAATCATAAGTTTATCATCTATTTAAACTGGCTTCGCGGGTTTTCTCGGAAAGAGTCACTTTAACGACAATAAACAGGTGAACAATCCCTGACGTGACTTTAGAAGTTGAGTCAGCATGTGCACTGTTGTCAACAGAAACATGTTTACGACGTTATGCTAGATTTTTCTTCGATGCCCATATTAAACTTGTTCCTTTAGTGTGTGCAAGTGTGTATATATATCAAAGAAATATATAAAAAGCAGATTCATTCTACCCCTATGCTACTGGTTTACCAGTGCTAGACATGGTCACTCACAGCAAACCACAAAAGAACACTAGTAACCATGCAAATGAAATGTCTGAGAAAGGCTGCAGGAGTGATCAGAAGAGATCAAATCAGGAAGAAAGTCATAAGTGAAAAAAGGCACAAAACCAATTCTAAATTACATACAAAGACAGCATATCAAAGGATTTGCCCACTTGGAGAGAATGCCTTGTGACACTGTACCATACAAGGCATATACTAAAAGAGGAGAAGGAGGCTGAGCACAAGTAAGATCAAGAACAATATGAAAAGATAACACGAATAAACTTTACAATAGCATAATGCGTCTATGGTCAAGGCAGTGAGAAGAGCAAGAAGCAGAACTTTTTATCTCCCTTGACAACTGAAGTGGTAAAAGAGAAAGGGAAGAAGAAGTACAGCGGAACCTCGCTTAACGAGCATAATTCGTTCGAGAATCATACTCATTAAGCGAAACACTCGTTAAGCGAAACAATTTTTCTCATATAAATTATTGTAAAATACGATAATGCGTTCAGTGTCGAAAAAAAAAAAAATACTCACAAAATGCTATGTATAACTTTTATTCAAAGAAAATTATAAACATATTGTTAAGGAGAGTGAATCATCTTCACCTTTTCTTTAAACGCGGAATGAACCCACATGGAATGCGAATTCGATTTGCAGAAAAAAAATTTGTAATAATTATGATACATAGCTAATTAGATTTTTACTAGAAAGATGTCCAGAGACATTGGTTTTTGCCGACGCTTCAAAATTTGGCGACACAGTATTATCATTAAATAAATTTGCAGCGAGCATAGCCACTTCCTTATTATGGTGATGCTTCTCAATGTAAGATGCAACAGTTTCCCATGCTTTCAGCATTTCTTTAATTCGCCAGAAGATTGTTGCTTTTCTGTTACCTCCTCCTCCTCCTCTGACAAACTTTCCTCCAAAACTTCTTGCTGTGAAACACAATACAACTCCATAAGCTCCTCGGTGGTCAGCTCTTGGCTGTGCTCTTCCACAAGCTCTTCAATATCACCGTTATCCACCTCCAATCCCATGATAGTGGCCAAAGACACAATCTCGTTGACTACAGGTTCCACAGGTACTGTCTCGAACTCCTCAAAGTCACAAATCGACAATGTTGTCCGGCCAAAGCTTCTTCCAAGAAGAAGTTAGGGTTCTCTTGGTAACCCCTTTCCCCGCCTTGTCGGTCATCTTGAGGCAGGCAACAATGTGGAAGTGATTTTTCCAAAACTCTTTGAGAGTGAGGTTGGTCCCTTTAGTCACCTGAAAACAATGCTGGAAGAGTGCTTCAGTTTAGAGCTTCTTAAAGTTAGAAATAACTTGCTGGTCCATGGGCTGGAGTAACGGAGTGGTGTTGGGAGACAGAAACTGGATCTTGATTAACTTAAATTCTTCAGAGAGGTCATCTTGTTGGCCTAGAGGATTCATGTACATATATCACAATATAACACGTTTGAGAAAATGTGTGATCACATGCGACACTACGATGCTACTGGAACACAGACTGATGTAACATGCGCACAATCCGGGACTTCCCCTCTCCTCGCCACTCGTTATGTGAAACATCGCTCGTTTTGTTTTTGCTCGTTATGCGAATTACTCGTTATGAGAGGTGCTCGTTAAGCGAGGTTCTACTGTATATATAGTTAATATCACTCTTTTTTCATGTCCTCATTACTGTACTGAGGCAGAAAGTGAACGTCTTTCATTTGTATTATATATAGTTGTATTTACAGCCTCAAGCGCTCATTCTACCTATCATTGCTATGTTCCAACTGTTTATTTCAGATTATTTTAAGGAAACTACATTATTAGGGTCATTTTTGTTGACATTCTTGTTACAGAATTGAGCCTTGAGATCTGTTGTTTCTATGTGTAGCTTAGTCAAGGAATTTTTTTAACGACTTGTCATATTTTCCTTCATATCTAATTTGCTACCTCTTATGTCATTCGCAATTTTCTTCTCATACATAACCTTTCCGTTATTCCTAATTTTTCCCATTTCCTTCAAAATTAGTGTTCATGTCTAGTTCAAAAAGTTAGTTGCATATCCTTTACATGATGTTGCAGAACCAATCCCAGCATTTTTTTGGGCTGTTGTAATTTTTCTAGGCAAATTTTAGGTTCAGTAGTTTGCCACTGCTGTCTGAAGAATCGGATCTCAGTATCGCTGTCAAAGTCAACACAAGACAAATCGTCCGCAGCTGGGATCGAACTCAGCACCAGCATTATGAAGTGCTCATGTCTAGTACGAAATGTATTGAATATTTTTCTCTAAAATCAATAATGAAGTCATTGAACATTCATAGATATTGAATACTTGGGCTTATTAATGAACAACAATGATGACTACAAAAGAAGTAAGACAAAGACTTGCTTTAGCGATGCAGAGTCTAGACAGCGTAAAGAACAAATGGCACAGCACCTGAAAGTGAGGTTCAGAGATCATGCATCTTTCCCATGGCAATTTATGGTTATGAATCATGGACTCTTACTTAGTCTGTGAAGAAAAAATGGGAACTTTTGAACTGAAAAGAATGGTGATGGCAGGTGCAGTTTTCTCTTTGTGAAGGTGGATTGTTACAGAACTGGCTATGAGCCTGCTGAGATCTGTTGTTTCTTGATGTGTAGCTTAGAATCAGCTTAATTACCCTGTGCTCATTTTTTTAACGAGCTTGTCAATACTTTTCCTTCATATCTAATCTTTGCTAACAGTCTTATGTCATTAACCAGGCAATTTTGCTGAGCTTACAGCTGGTGAACAAAGAAAGAAAGAAATGACCCTGTGTTTTACCCCATATGGTTCTGTCTGTCTCTGCAAAATGGCTAGCTATGTGCTGAAAGTGTTGCACAAAGTACAAATACTATAGCTCCTGTGATGATGCTTAGTGATCTTCGTAAAAAGTGCACTAAAGAACTGAATGACTGTCAGCAACAAAAAAGAAAAACTTATGGCCTTTAGAGTGTGAAGGAAATGCCTTAACAGTTATCTTCAGGTACTCAGAAAAATCACATTTTCACAGCTTTCTTTAATTGTTTATGTTGTTTACACATTTTGACATTGCTTACAGACATGTCAGAAGTATTAGGAGTTTTGTTTTTTACTTACAGACATATTTTCAGAAAAGCAACAGAAGCCTTGCTACCCTAGGACATTTATTAACATTAAATAATTGGTGCCTGTAGAGAACAGGAGGACAACAATGCTATGACAAAATCACTCATATGGAGCTCATAAAGACAGCTAAACAAATCCCAGTAAATTAAGAACTAAGGAAATATGTCTTCTAAATAGGAAGAACTGCTAACAGTATAATGTCCGCTAAGTCTGTCAGACTTTATTCATGTGTTTTTAACTAGGGTAATTTTTTTTTTATAAAGAGTCTGACGAGTTGACTCCTTTGCTATGTATCTGGCCATTCTATTTTTTTGGGGTAAGCTGTAAATAGTTGAACATCTGTTAAAATCGAATGCCCTGTCTCATAACACCAAGAGCAAAATATGTAAAACACTGCCCCTGAAAGAAAAATCCAGAGCTTTAGGATTCAAACCTGGGCCTTCAAAGAATGCGTGCCTAGCATTTTTAACAGTTCAGCCAGCCACTTGTTAAGACCAACTATCTTTTATAGCTCTGAAACCGGAGTATAGCTACAAAGAAAAAACCTCATTAAAACTTTTGAGAACAAAATTTTATGAGAATCTTTTAAATGATCAAAGATACAAACAGCGAGAATGGAGGGTGAGATGCTATAATGAGATTCATAATCTGTTTAAATAACTGCTAATTACTGTCATCATGAGGACTGACAGACTGCTATGGTTGGGGCACATAAAGAGAATGGCAGATAACAGAGACATAAAAACTGCATACACAAAAGATCAGAATAGGAATTGACCACGAGACAGACTAAGAAGATAGCAGACAGATAAAAAATATGCAGACCTGTAAATACTTGAAGTCACTTACTGGAGACAGAAATCTAATCAGAAATATGAGTGGAGGATGGTTATATCTGCAATAATAAACTTCAAGGGCTTGGTGTGTTAAAGAAGAAGAACTAGTCAGACAGTTTATTTAATAACAGTAGAGTCTGAACTACTAAAACTGTTAAAGTACACTGTGATACATTTAGGATCCTAATTTGAGTTCATTTACACAGTGCACACATAGTAAGAGTTATATCTTTTCAAAAACACCCATTCAGAGATAACAATTAACTATGCTTTTAGTTAATTCTTTCAGTACAAAACAACTCACAATATATGTATTAGATTCTCTATGAACTGTAAGTATTTCTTAACTTCTATTACTTTAACCCGTTTTGTCCAAACTGGTACATAACTCGTACTGCTTCATATCTGTATTATTTAAACTCCTTGAGACTTTAGGATTGTTATTTTAAAGCAGACACATTTTGAGATTGAAAGATGTTGAATCAGCAACAATCTGGTACTGAAAAAAGTTTGTATCATTTTACTGGTTATTAGACTAAAAATGATGTGATGTAAACAAAACATTGTAGACAATGAAACTATGCCTAAATGTATTCTGTGTGTTTATTATCTGGCAGGTGGTATTACTGTATAACAAATTAGATATTATCTTTAGCATTACTAAAGAGTCGCTGCAACAAGGACTGGTAATGAACTTGTTCTATTTTACTCTGGGGTTTGGATCGGCACCATTCTTCATCACCGACGGCAGACTGGTACTGAGCAGGTGGTGCTGGGAAGTCACGCCAGTTGAATGAGTTGACAAAATCCTCATACAGGATGGCTTCATTGTTATTTTCTGATGTCTTGGCTCTGAGAAGATTTATAATTTTATATTATTAGCTTGTTTATTTGTTATTTTTAAAAAACTACCCCTTCAATGTCTGATGAAAATCTTTAAAACAATGCATGTCTGCAGCTTGTTAATTAATCTCTATATTATCAACACTGACTATCATTTTAAAATACCAATAATTAAATTCAAAGCAATCAATCTTAAACAACTTTTTTTATTATCTTCTAAAATACTAGAAATACAAGTATAGTTAACACTTAAGTAGACAGAAATAATTTTATCAAAATATATTGAACACTATGTCAATGAAATACTATCCCCAGTGATCAAAATGATAAACCACAAGTAAACCACAAGTGTATTAACCCCCCCCCCCCTTCCCCCCCAACCCAACTGCCCCAAAAAATCTAGATATTGTAAATGTATTTATGTACTTGAAGATGCAAAGTTTTAAGACTGATCATGTTTACTTACACTGACAGTGCAGCTCGCAACATATCATCAGAAATGGGCACATGCTGGGCAATAAACTCCCTTCTGATATCGTCTCTGCTCAAGAATCCAGTGCTACAAAAGTAATAAATTAAGCTCATTAGATTTTTATAATTTACATTTTTTAAGCAATACATCATGCATAAATTAACTTTAAAATGTTCCTCTAAACATATAATAAATTAACTCTAAAATAGGACAATGTTTTGGAACAGTTTTCCACATCAAAAATTCCAGCAGTGCAAACATTCCTGGAAAAATATGCAGAAGTAAACTGAAATGGCAATGGGCATAGGGCATTAATGTCCCACACAGCTTGTAAAGGTATGCAGCAGGGCATATGTAAAGGTATGCAGCAGGGCATATGTAAAGGTATGCAGCAGAGCATATGTTAAGTTATGAAGCAGGGCATATGTAAAGGTATGCAGCAGGGCATATGTAAAGGTATTCAGCAGGGCATATGTAAAGGTATGCAGCAGGGCATATGTAAAGGTATGCAGCAGGGCATATGTAAAGGTATGCAGCAGGGCATATGTAAAGGATAGAGTTAAATTTAAAAAAAAAAAAAAAAAAATGAATCCATGACTTGCCTGGTGAAGCAAAAAGCTTAACCCAATCAATCAATCAGCATGTCTTTTAAAGAATGTCGCTCTCTTCATGGCACACCTGAAAGTCTCTCTTTCTCTAGCCAGTTCTCCAGTCCTGTGTGTTTTCATAACTAATGCATCTTCAGTGTCATGTATCCACATTTGCAGAGATCGGCCTCTGCATCATTTTCCATAAACTGCACTCTCCGACACCATTTTCTCTAGACAACCATCATGCTTGACATGTCCATAACACCTTAGCTTTTGGGATAGGATGCTGTTTACCAGCCAGTTTTCCTTGATTTTCAGGAAATTCAGGATAACAAGGTTTTTTTTTTCCCTTCTTAGTCCATGGTACTCTTAGAACCTTTCTGAAATATTTCTTATCAAAAGCTGTGATTTTTTCCTTCAAAGACTGAGTGACAGTCCACTACTGACTTCCATATTTTGCCACAGGAAGGATACATGATCTCAAAATTTTTATTTTAACTTGCTTGCAGGTACTATAACATTTTAAATCTATTTTGTTGTTGATTTTAGTACATAGTTGGTGTGCTGTATTCATTGTGGATGTTATTTTAGCTTCTTTAGATTCAGAAATAGATTCACTTCTTCACTGTGCTTTTTGACAGTCTAATTAATTTTTCTAAGCCTTGTTCACTGTTGGAAAGGAGAAATATGTCATCTGCATATCTGAGTTCTGGGATTGGTCTACCTCAAATTGTGAGCGGATCAAAGCTGTCCCTGGCTTTTCCCCCCACTAATTTAATTTCTCATAATACACTAACTGCATTTCTCATAATATTTTTAGTATATTTATATATATATATATATATATATATATATATATATATATATATATATATATTTATATATATATATATTAAAAGGGAGTCAAGAGAGAATGCAGCCCTGTCTTACACCTAAAACCACTCCAGTTACACTGACTGTTACTTGTTGTTCACGGTAAAGAGATTCCATTAGATGTAGAGAAAGAAAAAAGATTAACCAAGAAAAAGCTGCCTCATTAAAAAAATAGTACATGATTACTTATAATCAGTGTTTAATTAGAATAGTCATCAATCCTAGACACTGCTGAAGAAAACTAACAACATCTTGCAAAGTATACCGCTGATTCTAGTTACCCAGTCAAGTAAAAGATCAAGTATATGTATAATGAAATGGCAACTGTGAAGAGATTACCTAAAAACAGTACCAATTCACATTACATAAATCATAACCACTGATATCAAAACTTACCAGTCTTTATCCAGATGTCTCAAAGACGATATAAGTGTTCCAAATCCCTCAAAGTTTTTCTTTCTTAGTTCTTCTTGGATTATAGATGTCAACTTATCAACATCCAGAACAATATCTGACCTTCGATCACTGAACTGTCTAGCCACTGTGATGATCTGGTGGTAAAAAATAGTATACTTAACATAATTTTCATTGTGACTCACGATAAATGTGCTGGGGACTAACCGACCTCACAGGGTAACTCCTGGCTGCCTACTTTTGGCCTCTAAAGATATTGGCTTGGAGAATTGGCTTGGAGAATCACATTTGTTTCCATTGCTAAATTATTGTTTAAATCAAGAAGAAATTCCATGAAAATGCACACATAAAAATACTTTCAAACAAATTCACTATCTGTGCAGTAACACAGCGATCACAATAATATGTAAATCCATGTTGTTTACACGCACTGTTTTCATAAAATAATCAAAAAATGAAGAGCTCGCTAAAACACGTCCTCAAGTCCGGTTAAAATGGACGCTAGACAGCGGCGCTGTTCGAAGCAGAGGCAAATTTTTTGCTTCTGCTGGACGGTGGCCAAAGTATTTTTGCTCAATTTGTAGACTGGATATAGTTTCGTCGCCCAGATTCTGAGTTGAATGCATGGCGTGACCCTGTGAGCTGCGGATTGCATTTGGAATGTATTTTCGACTGTGACCAACGTGGTGGTGTGAATTGTAGATTCAGAAAATGGCGTGATGCCTGTCGTGCAATGTTGGCGGTGCCCGTATCTGGTTAAAATTTATCGCATGGACAACTGCTGAACTGTCGGCGACAAGTTCTGCTATCATTAATGATGAACTGCATTTCTAATGTTGGACTGTTTGTGTTAGCACTTCGGATGCTTTAATGCGAGTGTATGCTAGATATGCTGAGACAGCAGTTTGTCAATCACAATCTTTCTACAAGGGACTGTGATAAACATTCTGGGTGTTTTTTGTTGGCACAGGAGCGGAGCAAAGATGGGGCGACCCGTTGCTATGAAGCTGAAGACTACCAGACTACCAGGCGTCTAAAGATACGATGAATGTTGAATTAAGAATCGACATCACAGCACTCATAATAATTATCATTTAAATGATAAATAAATGTACTGTATGTTTACAGAAATTAGTAAAATGAAAAAAAATGATTTTTCCACTTACCACCATGGCACTCATGGAAAACTCGTTAAAATATATCCAAAATAAATCACAAATGAACTTGAACCATTTAGTAATAATGTACAAGTAAAATATAAACTTAGTCTGTACATTAGATTTTGTTCCAGAGAATCTTTTGAAGCATCATAACAGTTCACCATTACTTAGTTTTAAAAAAAAAACTGACTTCCCAAAACAATTAGTATCTTCATACAAAATGAATTTTACATAACACTCAATTTACCTGTAATTTTGTAGATATGTTTCTAAATAAAAAAGAGAAAAAATACTAGAACTAACTGACACTGAAGACAATCAAATTTTCACTAATATTTATTCTATTTGTTCAAGCTGACTTAGCTATCATTGTACTTTTCGCGTAAGGTACACATTAGAACTATCCCTCACAAAGTTTGATGAATAAGTGACTGAAATAAGTCTAATCAGCAATGATATCTATCTAACTTCCGATAAATATAATAAAAAGGTGCTTTATCTAAATCAGAGGCTTCTAAAGCTGTATATCATGTTGACATGCATGTAAGATTTTTTCTCTGTGGCCATATTGTCTTCAAACACACACTTAGTAACTCAGTAAACATTGCAGATATACTATATTTTTGGCTCTCAAACCACGTTTCCAAATGAGAAAGCCTGATATCAAACACAAACAACTCGAAAGTAAGTTGCAATTGAGTGGTCCGTGTTTTATTACTGGTCAGTGGTAAATTAAACATTCCACACTTGTCACGCGTCGATTGGGCCACTGGGTTGTAACCAATTAGACTGCAATGAAAGGCTAACCCGCTAAATAAATGCCATTTGAAGTTGATGGGTTGGCCGAAAGGCACAAATATCTCAGCCATGTTGTAAACAGACAAAAAGCAAGAATATCTTTGGATGAATGCAGAAGAAGAAGAATTAACATGCTCACTCATAGCGTATCTACTGAAAATATTATATTTGAACACCAAATTACACTGGTCAACAAATTTTCAAACTTTTTTTTGTATCAGAATTTAAATACATCATTTCTGATTGATTTTGACATGCTGATTTAAAATATCTTAATGAAATTTACCAATTGGCTCTAGTGTTGTTGTTTTTATAATGACAAATTTACATTAAAGTAATACAAATAATGTATCCTTTTAAAACAAAAAATCCCTGCAGTGAACAGTTAGTCTTTCTATTTTAGCTTTGTATAAATTGCTTTTGCATACTCAGTTAAGAGATATTTCAACATAAAATTGTAGAAACAATTATTTTAAAAAATATTCAAAGTTCACATATAATGTTGAAAAAGAAACATTTGAATCTTTTCCGTCATTATTCAGGTGCTATTCAAGCTCTCTTTGCTTGCTTCTTGTAGTCAATCGATGAGGTGTCTCTTTTCACACTCCGGTAGTAATCAGCAAGCAGTGAAGGGCTCCAATTGCCTTGATACCTTGTCTTCATAGCAGCAATGTTCTGATGAACTCGTTCCCCATGCTCATCACTGACAGCTCTACAGTTTGATGTAAAGAAATCCAGACGAGAATGAAGAAAATGAATTTCCCACTGCTAGCAATGCTGCTTTTTCCTTGCTAGGCAACATGCAAACAAATTGCCCATCGTGAAGAAGTTTTTGAATTTGCGGGATAACAAATATTCCCTCTCTTATTTTAGCTTGACTCGGTCTTGGATATTTTTTGATGAGATGTTTCGAAAGCATCATCTGTTTTCTCCAATGCCTTGACAAAGTTTTTCATGAGACCCAGCTTTATGTGCAACGGTGGCAACCAAATCTTGCTGGTGTCAACAAGTGCTGGGTTTTCAAAGTTCTTGCTGTCAGGCTGCAATGACCACCTGATTGGCCAGTGTCTTCTTATGTAATAGTCATGTCACACTAGGTTATCCCATTCACAGAGACAGCAGAAGTACTAAGTACATCCACCATGTAATCCAAGCAAAAGAGTGACCTTTTAAATCACCGGAAAGTGATCTGTGATGATGATCATAGTTTATACACTTCAAAAGGTACCTTATTCTTTTGGTAAAAGTTTCTTTCATGTGAACTGCATGACCAACTGGAACTGACGGTAATACATTATCATTATTCAACAAAACAGCTTTTAGACTTGTTTTGGATGAATCAATGAAAAGCCTCCACTCTTCTAGTCTGTAATTGATTTTTATGGCTGCCATTAGCCCTGAAGTATTGGGCATGCAGAAAGGTCACCTTCTTAAAAAAAAATTATATTAAGTGGCTTCTGACAGTTCCCATACACAGAAATACTAATACCTTCTGACAGTTCCCATACACAGAAATTCTAATACCTTCTGGCAGTTCCCATACACAGAAATTCTAATACCTTCTGACAGTTCCCATACACAGAAATTCTAATACCTTCTGGCAGTTCCCATACACAGAAATTCTAATACCTTCTGACAGTTCCCATACACAGAAATTCTAATACATTCTGGCAGTTCCCATACACATAAATTCTAATACATTCTGGCAGAAGATTCCACTATTGCAATCTAGAACCCAAAAGCTCTGCTTTGTTTTTCTGTTAATTCAAACCTCTTACAAGATCATTCAGTTTACTTTGGGTTGTTAATTGTGGTTTAATGGATATAGTTTGCTTGAGGTTAGTAGTTCAAGGTCAATGGGGTTTTTAAGACCTGTCCCCAGGTGATCCTCATCCAAATAGTGGCACTTTGTGTCACCGAGTGTTTATCACTTGATGCAATGTCATGGTGGGGTTGAACTTCAGTCTATCCAAATAAAACACTCCACTCACCTCATGCTGCCAAATACTAACTGATGTGTGTTAGGCATTTGCTTTGTTGTAAATTTTTTGGGAGAAGGAGCGGAAAGTGGGGAGAGAGATAGAAGTGACTCTATGTATCTCATGTCTAGTGAATGTTGGACACACACACACACACACTCTATGTACCTCATGTCTAGTGAGTGTTGGATATATACACACACACACACTCACACACACTCTATGTACCTTATGTCTAGTGAATATTGGATATATACACACACACACACACATACACACTCTATGTACCTTATGTCTAGTGAGTGTTGGATACATATACACACACACACATACACACTCTATGTACCTTATGTCTAGTGAGTGTTGGATATATACACACACACACTCTATGTACCTCATGTCTAGTGAGTGTTGGACACACACACACACTCTAAGTACCTCATGTCTAGTGAGTGTTGGATACACACACACACACACACACACTCTATATACCTCATGTCTAGTGAGTGTTGGACACACACACACACACACACACACACACACTATGTACCTCATGTCTAATGAGTGTTGGATACACACACACACACATACACACACACACTCTATGTACCTCATGTCTAGTGAGTGTTGGATATACACGCACACACACACTCTATGTACCTTATGTCTAGTGAGTGTTGGATATATACACACACACACTCACACACACTCTATGTACCTTATGTCTAGTGAGTGTTGGATATATATATACACACACACATACACACTCTATGTACCTTATGTCTCGTGAGTGTTAGATATATATACACACACACTCTATGTACCTCATGTCTAGTGAGTGTTGGACACACACACACACTCTATGTACCTCATGTCTAGTGAGTGTTGGATGCAGACACACACACACACACACTATGTACCTCATGTCTAGTGAGTGCTGTATACACACACACACACACTCTATGTACCTCATGTCTAGTGAGTGTTGGACACACACACACTCTATGTACCTCATGTCTAGTGAGTGTTGGATACACACACACACACACTATGTACCTCATGTCTAGTGAGTGTTGGATATACACGCACACACACACCTTATGTCTAGTGAGTGTTAAGATATACATACACACACAAACTCTATGTACCTCATGTCTAGTGAGTGTTGGATACACACACACCTCATGTCACACACACACACACACTCTATGTACCTCATGTCTAGTGAGTGTTGGATAAACACACACACACACACACACACTGTACCTCATGTCTAGTGAGTGTTGGACACACACACACACACACTCTATGTACCTCATGTCTAGTGAGTGTTGGATACACACACACACACACACTATGTACCTCATGTCTAGTGAGTGTTGGATACACACACACACACATACTCTATGTACCTCATGTCTAGTGAGTGTTGGATACACACACACACACACACACATCTATGTACCTCATGTCTAGTGAGTGTTGGATACACACACACACACACTATGTACCTCATGTCTAGTGAGTGTTGGATACACACATACACACACACACACACTCTATGTACCTCACGTCTAGTGAGTGTTGGACACACACACACACACACTCTATGTACCTCATGTCTAGTGAGTGTTGGATACACACACACACACAATGTACCTCATGTCTAGTGAGTGTTGGATACACACACACACTCTATATACCTCATGTCTAGTGAGTGTTGGATACACACACACACACATACTCTATGTACCTCATGTCTAGTGAGTGTTGGATACACACACACACACACACACACACTCTATGTACCTCATGTCTAGTGAGTGTTGGATACACACACACACATACTATATGTACCTCATGTCTAGTGAGTGTTGGACACACATACACACACACACACACACACACTATGTACCTCATGTCTAGTGAGTGTTGGATACACACACACACACTCTATGTACCTCATGTCTAGTGAGTGTTGGACACACATACACACACACACACACACACACACACTCTATGTACCTCATGTCTAGTGAGTGTTGGATACACACACACACACACACACACACACACACATTCTCTATGTACCTCATGTCAAGTGAGTGTTGGATACACACACACTGTACTCAACTCATATCTAGTGAGTGTTGGATACACACACACACTAATCAACTCATGTTTAGTGTTTATTTATATATAACATTCTACTTAGCTCATATTTAGTGAGTTTTGGTTATATGTAGATAAACACTACTTACCTCATGTTAAGTAAGTGTTGGTTATATATAACACTCTACTCCTCCCATGTAGTGTTTATATACAAATGCTCAATTCACGAGTGAGTTCTGATTTATGTCAAATACTCTACCAACCTCATGTTCAGTAAGTTCTGGTTTACATCAAATACTCTTACCACCTCTTTTAAAGTGAATTCTGGTTTACGTCTAATACTCTACACACCTTGTGTTAAGTGAGTTCTGGTTTACGTCTAATACTCTTCACACCTCATGTTAAGTAAGTTCTGGTTTATGTCTGATACTTTACTTACCTCATGTTCAGTGAGTGTTGGTTCAATGCTGAGTGCCATCTCTCTGAACTTCTCATACGACATGTAACCAGAACCAGCAGGATCTGTTTTGGCAAAGAAAGCTCGTACATCTTCTTTGTTTGAGCCCAGCCTGACAGCCAACTTCTCCAGGATAGCATTGATGTTAGACTTTGGAAACTGTTGGAGAATATGTTGGTGTACATTTATATACAAGTGCAGACTTTGCAAATGGAAGAAATAATATACACATTGCAAACTGCTTAAAGCAATCTCAGATGTGGCAAATTTATGTTCAAATTCTTATCTCGATAAGAGAAATTTCTGGTAAGAAGAACCATTTCTTGGGTCCCCCATGAGTTCTCCTAATCAGGTTTGTACTATATTGAACACAAAAAGTTAGATTCAGATTCTGCTGGAGAAAATGATCAGGTCTTTTGAAACAGAAGTTAGGTTTAGACTTAACAAACTGTACAATATGATCAGACAGACTGAAATACAAGTTGGGAGGTTTTTTCTGCCTGAACATCACTGGCATCTTTTTGCTTAAATTTATTCCTATTATATTAGCTGCATAAAAACCCCAGTGTGCCACTCAATGAAAGCAAAGAATAGTAACACTGTACCCTACCAGACATGTCATAAGAAGCGACTAAGGAGGTAGAGTTGGGTTGGGCTTGGGTTTGGCCACCTCATCCTTAAAACTTGTAGCCATAAAACCACACAAAAACCATCTAACCATGACAAATTCAAAAAGAGAAACAAGAAAAACCCAGCCAATAAAGATGAGGGAAGGCTCTTTGAGTAGAAGTATGACACAATGTGGAGAAAGCAGAAAGGAGTCTGGATGGTTGACATACCTCCTCCTTGGAAAACCTTCAAAATTGGCACCTGGAATGTTAGAACTTTGTACAATACAGGAAAAACAATGGAAGTAGTAAGGGAAATTAAACATCATAGGATTATTATTGTAGGATTACAAGAAACTAGATGGACTGGTGTGGGAAAAAGTATTCTAAATTCAGGGGAAACTATTTTGTTCTCAGGACATACAGAGGAAAATTCTTCCCACAGTGAAGGGGTGGCCCTGATGCTATCATAAGAAGCAGAGAGAGCACTAACAGAATGAGAAGCTGTGAGTCCTAGAATAATAAGAGTGTCATTTAGAACAGTAAAACAGAAGGTGGACGTGTTGGCAATACAGTAATATGTACAAACAAATGAAAAGAATGGATCAATTAACGAATTTTACATGCAACTTCAAAATATAATAAATAATGAAGGAAAGGGCAATAAAATATTTTGATAGGCGACCTGAATGCTAAGACAGGATGAGATAACACAGGTTATGAAGAGATTATGGGAAAAAATAAATTAGGAGTAATGAATGAAAACTAAAAATTATTCACCAATTTTTGTGCAGGAAACCAGTATGCTACTGGCCAAAGCATTTTCTTACACAATAGAATACACAAAGTAACATGGGAATCACCAGACCATAAAACAACCAATCAAAAAAAATCACCAGACCATAAGACAACCAATCAAAATAATCATACAGGTACAAACAAACAAATTTAGATCATCCCTTTATGATGTTAGGGCTTTTAGAGGTGCCATAGTATTTACTCACTATTTTCAGTTAGTAAGTAAAATTTGATTGTGTCCAACATCAGAAACTGTGGACTATTATGAGAACTATGGGGTTTCCAGCGCATTTGATGCATTTAATTGAAAATCTTTATCATGAACAACAAGCAGCCATCAGAGTGGGAGTGAGGCAGGGGTGCATTCTCTCACCATACCTACTCAATATAAACGTAGAAAATATAATGAGAAATGTCAAAAATGACCAGGCTTGTGACAGTTATGATCCGCTCAAAATTGGTGGTAACCCTATTTCAGAACTTCGCTACACAGATGACACAGTCCTTCTTTCGAACAGGGTAAAGGGAATAGAAAATTTACAATTGTCTGTCTAAAAGCACAGTGAAGATCAAAATCTGTTCTTTAATCTAAAGAAAATGAAAATAATGTCCACAGATAAAACTGGCTGTCTCCCAAAAATAACAATAAAGGGTGAAGAAATTGAAAATGTCAACAACTTTGAATATCTATGCTCTATAATAAATAGCAATGGAGACTGTTTGACAGAAATTGAGTTACTAGTTATGAGTTAGATTATCTTCACAGCACTCCGGACACATCCTTAGGGGCTCAGACTCCCCTCTCAACACATTCATCAGCGTCATGCGGTTAATAGTACCAGTCCTATGTTGGTTAACAAGACTTTGTGTGCGTCCAGTGTGCTTCTCATGCTTGGCTGTGCCGATCTTTTCTCCCAAATCGCGTATTCTTAGCAGTGATGTGGACACGTTGCTTCCAAAATCCTCAGATCGTCCTATCTCTCTAAGGGCATTGACAATGTCTGCGTGATCCATGGGCCGGCCATCTTCAATTAATGCAGCACCTGCCAGTCTATCAGCTCTCTCATTACCGACAATGCCTGCATGCCCTGGGACGAATATTAAAGTAACTGCACACACAGGAGAATTTTGCAATGACTCAAGCCACTGTCTGCGTAACCAGCCTGCCTCGACCCGCCGGATCATGCTCAAAGAATCACTTAGCACACACGCGCGGGAATAGTCCTGTGATCCCAAACACATGAAAGCCTGTCACCGCCATCACCTCCATCACCATGCTGCTGGTGGTCATAGAGAAGGCACCGCTGGCTTCCTTAACTGTTCTGACTGAAGAGCGAGCTGTAAATGCCCATGCACTCTTTTGTCATCGTATAACGGACCCGTCTGTGAAGATCACCACATCTGTCTCATCTGACTTGTCACTGATAAGCGTGCACACCTCGGCAATGACAGCAGCTGGATTCTGCTCCTGACAATTCCTATCGAGCGTCACGACACAGGAAAATGTGAGATTAGGCGCTTTAGACGCTGGTATCCATTCCTCACCTGGATGGATGTCTGTAAGGCTGCAAACCTGCATGATGTCATCCTCTGCCCTACCCAGCCATGATTTGCCCCTTTTAAGCCTATTGCCCTTTTTCTTGAAGAGCATGTGGTGCAAAGGATGCTTCAGATCTGAGCTTATCTATAACAGATAACCCTGGATCTGTGAGGATTACTTGAACTGAATATTAGTGAAAGAATAACAAACAATATTGCTGATTATATGTGGCTGCTACTGGAAAGTGAGCAAGATTTACAAAACCTTAAAAAGAAAGTAAATAGGGGCTTTAAAAAAAGCACTGCATTTAAAAATAACTAAAAGTACAACAATTATCAATGGAAAGTAAAGGCAAACCGTGAACATTACAGCAGCCAACAAGACACAAGAACAAAGAACAAGTTTCTTCTGTCTTAGACACACACTAACATATGATGGCAGAAGTGATCTAGAATTTAAACTGACTATTTAAAAACAGCCGACCTTGTTGCTGATTATTGAGCTGATATATTCAACATTATGTAACATTTTTTATTTCTCACACTGATAAAAAAAAATTTCCATAACAATTAAATTAAAATTATTCTAAATTCAGAAAAAGTTTATGAATTTATCTGTCTTTTTTTTACACACAGCATTAGCTCTGTAAACCTTAGTACTATTTGTTAACAGAACTAAGGAGGCATCACGGTAAAATTATGAATAACTGATAATTTAAAAAGCCCATCATGAATATACCACACATGGTAGGACTAACCAGATTACTGTTGTCTTCCATAAACTTAAAGGCATATTCATCTGCATCTAGGATAACAAACTTGAACTTGTTGAACTCAACACAAGCCCCAATGTAAAGATCTGCTGCTGTGTAATACTGGGACACTTCAGTGTTGAACATCACTTCTGGTGGTTTCTTGATACGACCACGCTCCAGAAACTTTCCTCCTGCAATACCTTTTATTTTTTTGGAGAAAACAATCAAACATTTCAGCAACAAGAATTAATGTGGTAGAAATCTATGACTTTGTTTGGCATTAGTTTTGGTTAAAAGTCACCTTCCCGATGGATGGATATCTCAAAAAGTGCTCCTGTCTTTTCCCATACATCATACAAGGAGAATCACAACACCATTTGTGTACTATATAGCACCAGTGAGATACAGTGTATTTACTGTACTAACACTTGCTATAAATATTCAGTTTGCATGCAGTTTTCATAATCTGAACATTTAGATGGACAGAAACCTATTTGGGGTGCTATTTTCAGTTTCAAAAGGCAACGACCAAGGGATTTTGTACACAATGTTTACATTTTAACCCTTTAATGGGGGTTAAAGGAAAGGAAAGTGAGGAAGGCTGTAAGAATATATTGTTGACAGCCATTCATCTTGACATAGAAAGACTACTTAATAACTCAGAAGTATGAGGACTATTTCAATGAAGAAACAGTGTTGTGGAGAAGCATGAGACCTAAACAAAATTCACAAAACTATTTTCAAATGATGACTGATATGAGAGTGGTGAAGATTTTTAATACTATAAGCACTTGCTAAATATAATGCTTTATAGAATGACATCAAACAATCCAAATGACAATTGTGGTTAGAAAGTAATTAGTGCACTGACACAAACTTTGGTCATAATGTTTCAATCTGAAATCAGTTGTGTAATCTACACTTTTCAGTAGCCCCAACTCTTCAGTAGGTTCAGTGACAGCACAGAACCAATTCTAATTTACACAGAAAGATAGCAGATCAAATGGTCTGCTCACCTGGAGAGAATGCCTTCTGATGCTATACCATACAAGGCATATACCAAAAGAGGAGAGGGACGTAGAGCAAGAGGTAGACCAAGAAAAAAAATTGGAAAAACTCTACAGTACCAGAATGTGTCTTTGGCCGAAGCAGTTAGAAAAGCACAAAGCAGGACATTATATCTCCCTCGACACCCAAAGCGGTAAAAGAGGATAATCACTCTTTAAGAAAGAAATCTAATTAAAATGACTTTGTGACTAATAATAATGGTTACTATGGATTTCTCTGAGAAAGTAAAGACAACTAACACAACAGTAGTCCTGTAGATAATAAATACTTCTTAGTTTATGAAACCTCTACTGAGGTATTTGAACTGTGACAAAAATGAAATTTCAAAATTATAATCATAATAAATTATACATTTTACATGTTTTTAAACAAATGAGAATATTTTAAAACT